TTATCACTATCCAAGAGGAGCCCAGACGAAGCAGCTGTATTTCACTGGATGTTCCAGTTCATCCAGCTCTCTATCCACACACTTATTCACCACTGTGTGAGGCCCTACTAGATGATGGTTACTGTACACGTCAATGATAATGTTGGCCACCTGTGACTATAACTTGTACTTTAAGTGCCCCTTATAAAGTATTGATCCTCAAATTTAGCTCATAAAAAAGTTGTGAGGGTGAGGAGGTTGAGAAATGCACTGGCATTTTCTGTGTTTTGATGCCCCATGATGAGGACTCTAGAATTTATCGGTGGAAGGTTGGCTCCCAGTGGGTGGCATGAGGATGATTCTGTCTGCCCAGGGGACGTTTGACAGTGTCTGGAGACATTTTCAGTTATCACTACTGGGTGAAGGGTGTGCGATTGGCTTCTAGTAACTGGAGGCCAGGGATGCTTCTTGGGATTGTGCAATGGACTGAACAGCCCCTCCCAACGCAGGTTTTTCATACCCAAATGTCATCAGTGCTGAGACTGAGACCCTGACGTAGCAGGTGGACATTCAACTGTAAAACACCCCACGACTACGATGCGCCAAGGGCGATGCTTTGTGTGGCCAGGGCGGCCGGAGCGAAATCAGTCTGCACCCTCCTCACACGGTCTCACCTAGGGGCATGGGAAGAGATAGGCCAGAGACTGTGTTTTCTCACCCTCAATGTCTAACATAAAAGAGAGTGAATGGCTCTGTGCTTGTCCCCCACTAATGCTCTTCATCATCTCAGTCTGTTCTTGTAGTCATATCAGGTTATTATGTAAACAAGAAGGCTGCCGGTAAGAGAAATCATCTCAAAAGATGGACCTGAAAGCTGGCAGATGGATGCAGAATGAGGAAGGGTGTCCCTACTCACTGAACTGTGAAAAAGGCACGGTGGGGGCAGGGTGGTGGCTTTATGGTATCTGTCAGTCATATGCCTTAGAGGACATCAGCTTTTTGAACCACTCTACCCTCCACGCGACACTCCTCCAAGTGTGTGGGTTTGTTTTGTTTTTGGGTTCTGGGTGGACTGAACTGATTTATCATGCCTTTGTGCAGAAAGGGTAGAATGAAAGAGATTAGGAGAGAAATAACATTCAACGCACATGCATGGGCTTAGGGAATGGGCAAATTCAGTTCTCCAGCCTCACCCTGGTGGGACAGTTCCGTCGGTAATCATGTACAGATCTATAATCTCTACCGACCGATGACCAAAGCTTTTTACTCATTGGCTTCTGTGATTACACGAATTTACACCATCATCCTGAAACGTTAGTTTTAAATGAGAGTTCAGGAAGAAGTATTTTGGACAGCGTGAAGTAGAATAGGAACATGCTACATACTAGCTAATTGCTATGGCATCCCCATACCCAACCCACCACAGGCTATGTTTACCTGTGGTAGTGTTAGCAAGACATTTCCCGCTTGATTGGGCAATGCTTTTGCTGCTTCTTCCTGACTGCAAACTCCCAGACAGCCTCTAGGCTGCCTTCCCCTCTCTCCTGCCTCCCCGCGGCTCTGGGCACATCTTACGTTTTGATCTGTTCATCAAGAGACCTCATTTGAAGCCATTCTCCAATATCCTGGAGCATCTCTTGGCTCCTAGGAGTTTGTTTTGGCTCCTACAAGCCCTCTCCCAGGGATCAGGGGCATGCACAGACTTTCTTTTTGCTTTCAGAACAGTGGTGATTTTTATCTACACGGTTGTTCTCCCACTTGAGTCAGTTTGCCCCGCGGCCAACAGATGTTTGCATCCAGATCTCCCCCCTAGATGAATAAAATCCTCCCACAGGCTAATACTGTCTGGAAGAAAGTTCCTTTGTGCATCTATGAAGCATAACTGAGCCCTAAGCTGTCACTTCTGATGTATATTTTGTGACTGGGGAAAATTAAGAAAGCAAAAATATTTTTGCCAAACTATTTCTTGTAGATGAGAATTTTTTTTTTGACTGAAGACTTTATCCAATGTGAGCTTTATCCTCTTTGATTAAATGAAGGGTTAGATTGAGACCGCTTTTCCTTAGATTTCTTTTCAACTTTGTTCTCGGTGCTGCTTCGTTCTCGGTGAAAATGGGTCTGATAACTGTCTTCCAAATATCCATCTTATTTGGTTTGCTGGGAAACAATTTTCATCCAAGTATACAATACTTTGTTAAAAGAGTCAACCTTCAGAAGGCTGAAGTCTGAGTCTATGAGCATGCTTAAACTGAAATGATCATACTTATTTTTGGAGGTCATTAGTTTTGCCTCAGTACCTTGGATTCCCTCCCCCAACACCGCCATCTTTAATAAAATCCAAGATCAACATCCCTTACGGTAGAGACATTTGTCATAATTGCCTGATGCATTAGTGTCTTTCAATACCAATATTAACTTTGACTATGTGAGCACTATACCGTATAACAATTTTGAACAAGGGATAATGACTTTTGAGGACCAGTGAAGCTATCAGTAAACTTTTAAGACAATGACACATCCTTAGGCACAAACTTAAACTTAGAGTTGAAGGAAATGCTTAATGAGCCATATATATTGAAATATGATAACTTGGTTTCTATATTTAATAATGAATGCTAATTTAGGCATGAGGAAACAAACCACAAGACATAGTGAGTTAGCAGGCTGGTCATAACCATTCAACATCAAAGTGGACATCAGCCCCAAATTCCATGTCTCTCATGTCAAGAGGGGAAAAGCTTAAGGAATATTACCTTCAATAAAAGAAAAAATAAAACGAAATTTGTACTCCTATACAGAATCATGTATATCCTAAGTCTTTGAAAAACAATGAGAACCAGAGAATTTTTTTTTTCTTTTAGCTCTTTGCAAAGCCAGACCACACTATTGATTACTGACTATTCATTGCTCAAGGCAGTACTCTGTATTTAATAAATTAAGCTTTAATTCCTGAGTCTAACAAAATAATTGACCTCAAATAGAAGATAAATGAATACGCTGTTCTGAACTCATGATTAGAATCCACTTTCTAGTCTCATTTTATTAGTATTTTTCAATTCACTGATTTTTTTCCCATTCTTTTCTAATTTCTTTTCACAATCTATAACACCTTTCACCCTACTCATCTATCTACAAGGTCAAGCTATTTTTATTCTTGGTTTCACGATTGAAAAGTTTTATGTTATTTGTATATTTTGGCATTAATATTAATAATTTAATATAGTTTCTATTTTAGAAAAAAACAGACTAGTATTCTTGAAAAAAATCTTAGAGTTTCATGATACTGTAAAAATCATAAATAACATCAACATTTAGCACATATAAATATTTTGATTAATTGATCCTTTAAAAACTTAGGCAAATTGGCCTTACCTGCTTCAACACTGATTTTTCTTACTGAATCCTTGATCTTTAGGGAGGTTTAATAATATTTAGCCTGATTTAACATTTGAGGAAACTTAAAAGAAGAAATATTTGGTCCTTGAGTTTATCTACCTTGGGTAGATAATCCCTCAGCTTTTGTTGCCACTGTACCAACAGATTTTTTCTTTTGTTCAGACAATGTATTCTTCATAGTAAGAGGGTGAGCATGTGAACAGCATCCTTTTTTTGTTTTTATATTTTATTTTTGGTGTTTTGGTTTTATGTGAAAACAAATATAAAATGATCCATCACTATTACAGACACTGTATTAAGACAATGATTTAATACCACATTATTCTGAATTAAAGTAGCTAAACCAAGTTCTTCAGGAAACTTGTAGTAAAGCAGAAACAGATGCATTAGCTTCTGTAGAATTCATGGGGTGATTCATAGCTTTTTCCTTTGTGTGTCTCAGGAAGAATCCCCTGAGGGTTCCAGAAAGACAAGTGATTTTGTTTGGTTTTAGGGGTTTTTTTCCCCTCTGCTTAGATTTCTTGAAGTGTCCAGGACTCGATTTGTCCCTGCGTTAACTAAGAGGGGGCACAGCTTCAGGAAACAACATGGTACCATGAGAGGTAAAGCAGGATCGTTCACTTGAGCTTCGATTTCTAAACTCAGAAGCACTGTCCCTCAGTCACTCCAGATGACATTCTCCAAATGGATCCAAACTAGAGCTCACTCTACCCAGGCTCATTCGTGTGTAGGGAGAGGTGTCCCACACACCTGCGCTCTTTCCCGAGGGAAACTAATGTGAGGGCCAGCAAGGCTATTGGTATTTAGTGACATTAAGTCTTACTATTTGCATCCAATTAAGTGTTTCCAGTAACACTCAAGTGCTGTTGCAGGATAGAAGCATTTATTCTTTGGTATAGACTTTGTAATCTAGAACCTCTGAACCAGAAAGCCCAATTGCCTATATTTTGTTCAAATTATTTCAGTTGATAGTTTATAATGATAAGGCAATGTATTTCATAATTTTTTGATTCATTATAGCAAACTAAATTAAGTTCATTTTACCTTTGGCATTAAGTGAATCCAATTGTAGCATGAATCTCTGAACACTGATATATTGATTGCTACATATAGCAACTACAAAAAGTCTAAAATATTACAGTAATTTGAATATCCCACTTATAAACTATTCCAAATAAAAGCAAGTTAGTTAACTTGACTGTTAGAACCAATTTATAAATAAGATGGAGCAAATTTTTTATTAGTATGCATTTGCTATTATGTTAATGACAATATTTTACTTCATATTTTGACTTTATGTCAAACTAGACACTGATTTTCTAAAATGTAACAATAAATGAAAAGAGAATTGAGCAACTATGGAGGAATAGTAATTGGTAAACTGCTAATAATAATGGATGCTGTTTCAAATATAATTAATGTTTCTCTGTTTTCTTTGACTTGGAAATTATAGATGTAGGCAAATCTCACTTAAAATATTGTTATCATCAGTTTATCGACACTTTAATCAAAGGATACATTTTTCTATGAAAATGACGATAAAAAAGCAGTTTTTTAAGGCAAGTAGATGCCCTGGGCTCTACAGATCTTACTAATTTTTTACTACTTTATTTTTTTTTTTGCAGAATTTTTTCGAGAGCTCCTAGAAAATGCAGAAAAGTCCCTCAATGATATGTTTGTACGGACCTATGGGATGTTGTACATGCAGAATTCAGAGGTGTTCCAGGACCTCTTCACAGAGCTGAAAAGGTACTATACCGGGGGTAACGTGAACCTGGAAGAGATGCTCAACGACTTCTGGGCGCGCCTTCTGGAGCGGATGTTTCAGCTGATAAACCCGCAGTATCACTTTAGCGAGGACTACCTGGAATGTGTGAGCAAATACACAGACCAGCTGAAGCCATTTGGAGATGTACCCCGGAAACTGAAAATTCAGGTCACCCGCGCCTTCATCGCTGCCCGGACGTTTGTCCAGGGGCTTACTGTGGGCCGAGAAGTTGCAAACCGAGTTTCCAAGGTAATAGAAAATCTACTGTCTTTTTAATTAATCTTCTGCTTTTACTCAATTTATAAAACAACCGTTTAAAAGAAATTCAAGGTGAAAATGCTCACTTACAGTGGTTCTTGCTCTTAGAGAAATAAGCTAAATGTCAAAGCTTAATTCTGATATTTTTTTCTTGCTTAGTGTGAGAGAAGACAGGATTCCAAGTTGTTCCATGTGATTTGGAACATAATGTCAATATTTATCAGCAGTATAGCAGAAAAGCTTTTATCAGGAACGTTGCAAAAACCGGTGACTTGTAACCACGATCACTTGGCATTTCTGATCCGAGTTTTAAGGATGATAAATACTCATGAAACAGTCCATCCAGAGGTTATAATCCCCTAGTAAGTCACAAGGTGACAATCTTCATGAAGCCGGCAAGTGGAGACGAGTTCTTGTTCGCCATACCGCCACCTGGTATTTCTTCTTCTTTATCGCCCTTGTCAAAGTGGCCAAATTCCTTACTCATGAAGGAAGAACCTTTTGCTGACACCTGTAGAACTGGATTAGGGAGGACTAATGAGGATAAAGGATTGAGTCTGACAGAGAATTCCTTTTGTTATCCATTAGCTTTGTAATTCAATGCCACGTATTGTGTTGGGTTTATGAGAAAGATCAATCACTAGTACACATTTGTATCTTTCCTTAAGGATGTCTCTAAACTTGAAAGCAAGGAGTGTTTCTCCATTGCTGTCTCTAAACATTGACTATGTCCTGTAACTATTTCCTGCGCAGAGGATATCTGCCTTTGTTTACATTCTTTCTTGGCATTAAACTGCTCTTATGAGGTAGGCTTGCTGTTTATGAGGTCAGTCCCACAAATAATCTGAAAGATGATTATTTTAAGAGGTAAAGTAAAAATAATACATAACAGGAATCTGATATTATGTCACCCAAAGAAGGTCATATTTGTACAAAGATTATTGCCAAACTCAACTTTCTTATTGCAGGACCTTGCCAAAGATACCCTCATTTTTCATGACTATTGATACTATTTTACCACTTTTTCCCCCCACTTTGCTCTCTTCAATATTTACATCTTGGCATAAGGTTCATGTATACTCTTAAAAGTGTTTCTCTGGGCACTCTTTGTAAAATTCATAGCCATCCATTTTTAATTATCAGTTCCTAAAACATTGATTTGAGCATCTAAGATTATTTGCAAAGAAGTTCTAAAGGGGATAATCACAAAGGATTTAATGATATAAAGGGTATATAACCCTGATTATAAAATATTGTTTTTTCAATAAAAATCAACAATGTCCTAGACTACAGTATAGATCCTCGAGGTGAAATGTTAAGGAACTGGCCAGGTATAAGAACGAGAGGAAATGTGATCACCTGAGAAGTTCTGTAAAATATAAATAAGTATAAAAAATATATAGTCCATGCATTTTATTTTATTATTTTTATTGTATTTTTATTACCGTTTATCCCCCATACCCTCTTCCACCTCCATCCCTGCACTCACCACACTGTTGTCCCTATATTTTAAAACAGCTACATTTGTTTTGTTTTGTTCTTTTAAAAAAAAGCAGCTCAGTCACAGAGGCTTCAAACTGAAGCCTTTGCTTTTGTTGAAGACTGAAACAAACATACAGCCAGCTTTTCCAAAACAGGAGGTAAGAAATTCAAGGCATGGATTAGTACCTGCAACATTCCTGATTGTTTGTATCGATTCTGCCTGTGTGTGAATAATGTGTAAACATGTATATTTTGGTCTGGAAAGTCTCCAGCGAAATGAGAGTATTTTCTAGAGAAGTCTCTAAAAACCCGCAGGGCAGGGTGCTGCTGAATCCTTTTTCTCAGAGCGTGACCTGAACAACTGCTCAGAGATGGCGCCTCCCCTCCCTCATCAGTCCCTGACCGTGTCCATCCAAGATCTTTGTCTGCCAGAATGTAGAATGCTGCTCCTCATGGTGAAGGTTGACATTGGGGACCAACCACCTGTGGAGGATGACCTTGAATTTTTTCCCAGACATGGTGAGGAACGTACTCTGCAACACAGAGATCTTGTTTCCCCTGATTCCTTCATAACCAACATTCACGTACAGAGTAGCCAGCTGCTGTGGGTTTGTGATATAGTTTGTGGTCATGTAGCCGTGGAATACTCACTATTCAATGCAGGCATTGGCTTGTCTGACCTAAGTTTTATTAGCGTTAATCTACTCAAATCATAAATCCCATGCTGACATCTGGGCCCCACATTAGATAGGTAGATACATAGGTAGGTAGATGGATGGATGGATGGATAGATAAATAAATAGATAGATGTAGATATGTGAATATATAGACTTGGTTTGAAAGAAACTGAGCAGTTTTTTCTCCAGTAATTTATGACTCAGGGATTTAAGTATTTTACCAATGAACTTTCTCACCTAATGATTACCAAATGGTCTGCAGCTGACCAAACCGGATAGATCTACGAGGGCTGTTTCAGTGCTAGTGATTTTCAGCACCCAAACTATTTCTGGTAATAAGAATAAAATATTACAAGGACTAAATATATAAAGAGGAGAAGCAAGATTGGTGTTTGAGGTTTGAGCCCTTCATAAATCTCAAGTCTGCCCATGGTGTGTTCATTGAGTGATTTAGAGTTGGTGGAATGATTGCAGAAGAGTTAAGGAATTCAAGGCAAAATTCCCAAATTGAGATCAACATGCTGGCTTATCTCCTGCATCTTGGTTTGAGGTATGTTTCCTTTTCTTTCTTTCTTTCTTTTTTTTTTTTTTTGTTTCTTCCATTTCTCTCTTCTCTTTAAGTGTTTTTCTGAAATCTTGAAGGCATCATTAACAGCTTCTAATTAATTGTTTTGACTGGAAAATTTATCTCTTTGGCACAACTCAGCAGTTTGACACAAATGTTTCGACACAAACATCAGATGATAGTTACCTCTGGGGGTCGATTTGGATGTGTTACAAAGGAAGGGCATGCAGGGCTTTCCTGGGTTACCGACAGCATGCTGTTTCTTAGCTCTGTGCTGTGTGTGTACATATGCTGAAGGATTTTTTTATTAACGCAAAAAATTAAAATGAGCTAAGGCTCTACCGTGTTCACCTATGATTCTTTTCATATGCATGGATACGATCGAGTCCCTGTGCTGCCCTCAGTGGTTTGTCTGACTCACGGATTTGTTAACCATTTGCTTTCAATGCTCCATATTATGCTGAACGATATCCGGCAGGCATGCAAGGCAAAGGTCTACAAGGAGGATAGAAACAGATTTTTATTCTACAGTAGCATTAAGAAAAAGGATCCCGATTATTTTTTAGCATTGCTCCTTTATTAAATCAGCACCCTCGCCGGCTTTTATATATACATTTGTGTCTATCGGGGAGTGGACACATGAGTCAGCAGTCCCCCCGAGGGCTGACCAGACCCCGAAGAACACAGAAAGAGGGCCGCACACAGAGATTGTAACAGGCTGTCTGCTTAGACCAACATTTAATTATTCCTAATGAAGGCAAAGGAGGGCATAACTCTAGTGTCTTCACTGGTCCATCTCGATGCCATTTATACATAGAAGACATGACTTTCATATCTTTCTGCTTTAAGCAAAGTCACTTGTATGAGTAAAAACTAAATTGTGTTAATAGCAACTGCATGAATAATGCACGTCATTTCATAGAATCATTCCAGACAAATTAGGAATTAGGTAGGTAGTACGGCTGGGATCTATAGAACTTGAATGACTGCCAAACACTGTCATGCACCTATCTATCTATCTATCTACCTATCTATCTATCTATCATCATCTATCTATCTATCTATCTATCTATCTATCTATCTATCTATCTATCTACCTATCTATCTAAGATCTTCTTTACGTGTCATGACTTTGAAAAGAAAGTCTGTCTTTTCATCTTTAGTAAGAGCAGTATATTTTTTATCAGTAGAGACCTGCCTATGCCTGCGACACTGACTGTTAACAGTCTTTGCATGAAGAGCCTGTTAACTGGTTCATCCACCTGGGTAAACAGCCTTGCAATAGCCATGTGTGCCTAGAAAGCAATAAACAGAGAGTCAATTTTCAATAAATGCTCTTGCTGGACTATAAGGCTGAAAAAAATTTTATCATCAAGTTTGATAAAATGAAGCCTATGAAGTACATTTATTTAGAGCATTCTCTGATCATAATAGTAAAGCATTCTGAAAAATTTACCATGGATATAGTTTCAGGAGAAATGGTATTCAATTTAGCTGTTTGGTCCAGGGGAAAGAGTTTAAGATATAAAGACCACCGGGCATGGCTTTCACCTGGATTATTTGTTTTCTTCCTTCAGTGGTGATCTTTTGATTGGAGTTAATTTTTGTGGAGTCAACCAAGACCACAATAAAAGCCCTAGGTGAATGAAACCTTTCTATTGCTCTTCTGTGGTTAGTGTATTCTCTTGTGCAACTGATGACGATTCAGTGTAGGTTGCTTCATGATCTAGTGTTAGGAAGGATAGGTAAGCCTTTTGAAATTATCAATAATGCTTCTATGTTTACAACTTTTAAGTCAACATAAATAATATATGCTTGCTGCGTTATGAGAGTGGTTTGGATGTTATATTATATTTAGAAAGTACTTTGCGGTAATAAATAAATAATTTCATGATAAAAATATAATAAAATGGTATTAGTACTAAGCACCATAACAACAAAAATACCTTGTTAATATAACTCATTGAAAATGTATGAATTTTACTATGGCCCAGTTGCTGTGATAAGCAGTGGAAATCACAGGAATGTAAACAAGTTCAGGATAAGAAGAAAAAAACGTTCCTCCTCAAGAATATCGCATGGGAATTTTACAGACAAGCATAGAAAATTAAGAGGGACATCCCATTTTGATTAAAACACTTTGGTTATTTTCATTAAAACAATTAAAATAGTTTTTATTAATTTTTTGTTCTCTTAGTAATGTGTAGTTTAAACACATAAATTTGGAAAATGGTTGAGTTATAAGAAGAGGACAAAACTGAGGAAAA